CGAGAACTCAAGCTAAGACTCTTATGATGGTGTTTCCTGAGGTAATTAGGTGCAAAAGGCCACGCCTTACAATTTTCATTACTTCCTTTGAATGAATAAGTTCTAAAACTAGAGCTTTATTAAGAAAGAAATGTAACATGGTTTGTACATTTGTGTTACATATTGCTTGTTTCAACTCTGACTCAGTTTTGCTTTCATGGGTACTTGTCGTACCACCTGCCAATCTTTCATAATTTGTTTCAGTTTTCTTTTGTTTGAGTAATATTTCCTGAAAAGGGGGCATGATGTTGGCCAGGTGGTCATTCCTAATGTATTGCTTGTTCTGTTCCTCGAGCTCAATCCTCAGGCATCTGGCAAGGTCAACCGCACCACCAGCTGTTAATGTCTTGGTGGTCTCAAAGCCCAACGTTTCCATTCCAGGTTCATTTTCTCTAGCTGCAGCTGTAATGCAATACTTTCTTTAGAGATCTATGCCACATCAAACTAACCGTAGTCTTTATGTTTCTTTTCAAGCATTCTTTACGATTTGGTTGTGGTGATGGTAAATAATTTTGACGGTCCCTCTCTTCTTTCTGCAGATTTGCCCGCCATGCTTCACTTTGAGCCGTTCCCATCATGCATTTTGTATTCAGCACGTGGCTCCCCAACGACTGCAAATATATCAGCTGTAATACATGAAATGTGCGTTGCAAGTTCTTAAAACGTACGTTGCCTCAACCCTACGAAGTATATATCTCAAGCTGAGAGCGTGGCATGAATGATAAGAACATCCAAAGGCGTGAGAGGTGGCGGGTATGTGTATTTTAGGAATCACTATCAAAAAGTGATGATACCAGGTTTTCGCGAAAACATGTGAGCGTATCCTGCCCCGTCGGTGGCGCCCGTCATAAACACTTCAAAAGGCTGGTCAGTTATTCACCTGAAGAAATTTGAGACATCATTTTTGTCACTAATGCTTCAAATTTGGAAATAACCACCATATGACTATCTCAAACCTGTTTGAAAGCTTTGCTGAGTCCCTGAATGCTGTAACCGTTATCTAATTCTGAATTATTGGTTAAAAAGAGAGCAAGCACAATAATTATTGTACCCCAAACATTGTGAACACTAAAGGCTAGAGCTGTGGACAATATTGCAGTCGTTGAGTTTACAAGATGCGATTCATGAAACCAAAAGCACTTTTAGATCTTTAAATACATTAATAATGACAAGTATGGGAAACACGAAAAGCAAGAAAACTAACAAGTCATTTAAACAAATGCCTAGTATCAATGGATTGACATAAATGGGTAGGAGGTACGGCTTTTCTGGTGTCGGTGAGTGACGTTCCCGTCAATAAAAGCTGCCTCTAAGATGACCACCGCTACCACAAGTCGAATGTAGTTAAGTTTTGAAAGCAATCAGGAATTGTTTATGAAATAAAAAAAACATCAAATACACATGTGCAAACATACAAAACTGCAATGTAAGCAATAAACAATTGTCGACAGCACACGTGTCATTTACGTTATGTCAGATTGTATTGCCCATAACTAAAAACTAGAAACTATTACAATGCCAAAAAATGTATGATTTGGGGCATGAAATGATACATACTGAACCACAAAAGAAATGTCGCACCGATAGCGATTTCCTAAAGCACACACTTTAATTCACTCTAATATAACAATAGAAACGGAGGATTCAGTTCAAACTTGACAATTATGGTTAACACATTTTCGGGAATCCCATTTAGAGTTCACACAAACAAAATCACCAAAAATGGTACCATTAAGATACCCCAAAGTCAGTATTGTGTGTGTCCTCCATGGGTATCGATGAAAGCGTTGAATCTTCTGTACATGGAATGAATTAGCAGGTTGATGAATACCATAGGCACTTGGATCCATACTGTGCGAAATGCCTGATCGAGGCGAGCCGCAGTTGTCGGCCTTGGTTGGAGGTCATTCAGTCTACTTCGAAACTCGCCCCAAAGGTGTTTTATTGGACTTAAATCCGGACTGAGTGCAGGATATTGTAGGGTTTGGGTGCCATGTTGTCTTAGGAAGTCTAATCTTGATCTGACAGTGTGGGCACGAGCGTTGTCTTGCTGGAAGATGTGATTTCTGTCTCGACCAAAATGTGGTAAAACGTGGAGTCTTATGACTTGGTCAATATAGCGAGCAGCTGTCACGCCATTTCCTCATCCTGGGCCAAGATTCTGGAACACCACGGTGTCAACTAACTGATTCAGAGCGAATGCACACCACACCATGATACTTGGACCATCTCACGAGTCTCTTTCAACAATACCCTCATTAGAAAACAGTTCCCCACGCCTTCACCGTACTCTCACTCTGATATCGACTGTAGAAACACAATATCGTCTTTCATGAGATAAAAGCACAGTTCTCCATTGTCGATAACGCCAATTTCGATTCTGAGTTGCCCATTGCCCATCGGATTCGATGGTGATGAGCGGTGAGGGCAGCACTACGATATGGTCTGTGGCAGCAGAGGTTTCTTCCGCGTAAACCTCGATGCACTGTATTGGCACTAATGGGTCTGTTGTGAATCCCAATGGCATGTCGTGCTGTTTCCGTCGCTCTGGGGAAGCGATCCTGCAGATGGCTGCGCACAATCTGTCGGTATAGACGTGGTGATGTTACTGAAGGTCGCCCACTGCGTGGACGTCTTGGATGCTGTTAGTGACCTGATACCACTCCTGCAGTCGGTAGATTGTCCTACCATGAACATTAAAATAATTGGCTACCCTCCGTGCAGTCTGGACGACTTGCAATCGTCCCAAGACTTGGTTCCTCTGATCTTTCGTAAGTCGTGCCATGGTGATTGTGTTAAAACAACAATGATTTCAAGCGAGTTTGAGACTCGCTTTTATTGGTAGGGTCAATCATAATGCAAACACCACCTTGTAAGAACAAAATTTTGCATTTGGTTTTGAAAGGCGACGTTTCTTTTGTGGTTCAGTATAGTTAGATAATAAGCAGGTTATGTCTACGAGAGATACAGGTTAGTTGAACACAGACCAGTAATGTTCGGTTTAAAGACTGCGTTGCTGTGAAGCGTTATGGGACCATTGGTTACTTTGAAACAACATTTCGTTCTATTGTTTAATACAGCATCGACGTAGATACACAACTGCAGAACCCGGATGATCACACAGATAAGCAAAATGTAATTTACGTTTTGTAATTTACGTTTAATTGACAGTTAGAATAGTCCAGGACGTTACATGGGAAACCTCAAAAACACCAAAAATCACGTGTTGGTAACCGTTTGAATTTCTGTGCGAGCAGAGCAATGCTCATTCTATGGATTCCATTGTTGATTATGCCACTTTTTCACCCTAACGTAAATTACTAAAGGTGTTACGTAAATTTCATACGAATATTTCTTTCGGAATCATTACTTAAGATGATAAAACGATTTAATATGTTCATGACATTGAAGTGTACGTTTTGTCAACTATACAGATTGTTATTTAAGGATAGATCCAAAAGTAAACAAATGTTTTATCCCAATGTTTCATTGTGTAACTGTTGCTTGCAGATTAAATGTTGCACTACTGTCTAGGCCATATTTTCAGAATAATGTTCACTTCTCTTTTGGTTATATATCTGGTGCAAATATTTTTACTGTTTTTGTCATTTATGGCGTTTAATCAAAATTCAGTCTTTAAATTTAACAAGAACGTAAGTTACAACGTAATACACGTATACGTCACGCAGTAGAAACGTAAGATGGTAAAAGTGTTTAACAGTTAAAGCCAAGATATATTCATTCCCTTTTTGTATGATTCCATGACGTTTTCGTGAAAGAGACGTTTTATTTTCAAATTTCTGTTTTTAATCTTTGATGCAATGTAAATGTGGTATGCGTGGTTTCGTCAATTCTGGATTTTGAACAGGTATTACGTGGCGTCAACAGTGTGAAATACGCTTTACTGAGTCAGATTCTTATTTTGTTTTTCAGATGAATTAATTGTTTCTTTATTGGATGTTTGAATCAGAACAAGAACAAGAGAGTTCATTTTCTCGCGGTGTATGTTGATACTACTAGTTACCCATGAACGTAAATTACTTGGGCGTTTACAGGTACCTTACTTCAAACTAGTGCTGCAACTTTATTAGTTAATACTGTTCACTGAGTGCTGAAAATGTACGAACTGTTCATTCACAAGTTGTAGTTTTGGAAAATAAACATTTTGGGGGGACTGAAGTGATTTTGTTTTTCTTCACTATCCTCTCTGAATTGTGCAGTTTCGTTGGGAATGACTGGAAAGTTGACCACCGGAAGGCTGAAGTCACCCCTCTTTTCTTACAGCGTTGTGGTAAGTTTGTGTTGTATCGTTGATGGTGCTCTTGTCACAGTTCGATCTACAGCTGGCCTGTAACGTCTACCGTGGAACGATCAGCCAGCTGTTCTGTTCGCTCCTTGAGACGTCATGTAGATGTCACATGTGCTGGAGATATTCATGGATACGATGCATGTAATATCGTCTGCGTTACCTGCATTAAATGCATGAAATTACTATTTTTTTTATTTATTCTTGGGTTTTTTAAGCCTATTAGACTAGTGTGTTAGTATTCGTGTTCCTGGCTGGTGCTGTAGGCCTCTCCCAAAAAAAAAGTCTTTTCAAACGTTTTCATTGAATAGGACACGCTAGCAAATGCGTTTCACTTTAATGATTTATTATAAAACGTTGCCCTCAAATGAATCATCGCTTTTGCACAATTTGAAAACGCTTCGTTGGGTTAAAGTAAATTGATGATTTCAGCCTTTGCATCTTCTGAGCGGTGGTTGGTGAGATGTCCGTTTAACAAAAACAATCGAAAATGAGAATAATTTGACCTACATCATAATGATTTTGCCGGGCACTTCCAAGAAACATATAACTGTATACGTACATTCGCTCAATGTAAGACAAACACATCGAAATCAATACAACTGTTAGATAGTTGTCGTGAAAACACTACCCACGCGCATTCTCGCGTCACTGATGAGTAAATAAAATGGCGGCTTGTTGTTGATCCGAAGCCGGGATGACTGTGTCCAAGTGAATATTAATAATTTTAGGTAATAACAGTTTAAGAAATGTTTGGAAAAAGGTTTCTGGGAAACTTTCCCACGATTCTGTAATAGTAGATTTTGAATGTTGTAAAGTGTAGCCGATTTAACAGAGATAAATTGAAGCCATTACCAAGATGTAAATTCTTCGAATCAATATTGATGTTATCAGCGTCTAGGACAGCTTGACCATTCGCTACTAAATGACAACAATTCAGATGTGATGTTTAATTGTGTGCGTTTTTGTGAACATGAACTTTTCATGCAGTTTTTAACTTTTAAACTCGGACGTACAACCACACTACCCGTCAATTTTCCACCGCCATATTTAGATAGAACTTTAAATGCCAGTTGCACGATAAGATCTGGATCGACTGAGGTTCGTGAAACATCGGCAGTGGAACATATGTTGTAATGGAGACTTTTTCAGACTATATTGCTAAAGTACATGTGTGGAGATTTAAAACATTGAGTACGTTGGGCTGGAGTAGTTGTTTACAAGTTTACAAAATGAACTCATTTTTGTTGTTGTCCACATGTCCCACGGAAGACGCAACTTGAACAACCAGCTCAGGTTGTAATCGGTGTATTATGATGTACCTAATGAAGTAGTAGTCATGCCACAACTGAGTCCATTATTAGTTTCAACATTAGCATGGTCAACATAATCATAAACTGTGTGTTTGTTTCCCCTTGTAATTTTACCTGAAAACATATTATGGTGGAGAGCCCTGATACAATCTGACAGTCAAGAGGTGAGGATTCTGTCACAACTTTCAGGTCTTTCATTGTTGTCATCTATTGAATTTGTTTGAAAGATATAATACATTAAATACTCTCTGCAGGTAAGGATAATTCACTGAAAATGTTTTGATGCTTGCTTCCGAGTACACTCTCTGGTGACCATAGGAATATAGACTGGGTCTTGCCATTTGCTGTTATCAATATTTTCAGTTGTTGGTTGGAAATATTTCTTCAGTACACATATATTTCCAAACATTTCTCGGCCTGTTATTCTGCCGTCAGTAATATTGTAGGCACCTTGGTTATGATAAGTCAAAAATCAATTCTCTCAAGTTAGCTGTTCCAACTCACTGTATTAAGTATATGTTCAAAATGCTGATTTTCTTTCTGTGTTCATTGTATCCCAATTGTGTAGATCGATGCTCATGCTGTTGATCACTGGATTGTCTGATCCAGACTCGATTATTTACAAACCGCCATCATATAGCTGGAATGTTGCTGTGTGCAGCGTTAACAACAAACCAACCCATTGGGTAGTGTGGAAAGCCCATTTTTGTTGACTGTTGCCATGTTATTGCTCAAATACTGCTGAAAGTGGCATAAAACCATACTCAGTTACTCACTTCAATCCCGTGAAGTATGAGTAAATCTGAGATAGATCCGGACAAGAAGCACAGGACTAAGAACATGAGTTTTTCAGTTTATTTACCTGTGGACAAGTAAACATTGTTTTTTATTACCACGCCCCAGACTTAACTTAAAGCTGACATTGTATGATGGTGCTGTCTCTTGGTATGTTTTCAGACAGTCCAGTGTTTCTACCACAGAGACAGACATGGCGAACACCTCAAACTCAAAGGGGTCCTTTCACCAGTATGAATTTGGAGGTGCGTATATGCATGTGAAAGTGGCTCAGACTTTTTAGGATTTGCACATGTAGACAGCTAATAGTCTGAGATGAGTGAAAATCTTATTGATCTAATAATCTGAATGAATAATTATCTGGATACTCAGAGCAGTTATCTACCTGCATTTGTATACAGAACAAAAAGGTAGCAAAACTGGAAAGTTTCTTATGTTTTAATTTGTGTTACAGTACACTCTGTCTAATTCGGACCGGCTTGGGACCGACTAAAAAGTCCGAATTAGACAGCAGTCTGAGGTACACAGATTTTAATGTATCCACGCTAAAAGTGTTATTACGCTGCAAGCCACTACCTGCACAAGAAGAAAACGACTGCTCCCTGGGCAAGCTATAAATAGACTTGACTTCCTGTATTTCGGCTGCGATTGTGAGCCTACCTTGAGGTATTTACAAATCTTGCATGTACACCAATCGCTTATGTTATTCTTGAAGATAGTATACAATGTTATCGATTGGATTGTTTTTCAATCGATTATCGAAGTTTGATTGTCAAACGATCAATAAACCAATCAATTATTTGATCGATCGGTGCACCACTAATGCATAGTGACACTGACACTGAGTTTACATGATCATCTTAATTATAGTTTACAAATTAGTGTTAATCGCATCAAAGGTAAATAAGCGTTCACCGCTAGACAAAATACGCAAACCAATCAATGGGTTGTTATTTGAGGTTTATTGGCCAAGTGGACTTCCTGCTCAGTAAATTAGACAACATACACGAACCAATCAACGGATCCTGCACAGTCCGGATTATAAAGCAATGTTTTACGCGTGTAACTACCTTCGGGCCGACAGTTTGGTAATGAGAGTCCGAGATACAGAGCTTTTTCGTTATGACAACAAAGAAGGATTACGTGAGTTCAATCCGGTTCATACAGCAATCTGAGAAAGACAGAGTGCACTGTATATATGATGGTAAGTTGTTGGTCTCCGTCGGTCAGTGATGACCATGGAGTTGATCCCACTTGTCTGCCCTGCTGGAACATCGCTGCCTGTGGTTAAACAGGCCGATGATGGTAAGACTATTGCAAAAATTAGGTATAATCACATTACTTTCATTTGGAAATCTATGAGTAAATGTGGTGCCATGAGCATTCACTTAAACTGGTTTTGGAGCATTATAAATGGACTTATCAATATTATTTGATACATACACCATCATGATTTTCTCAGTAAAACAAAATGCATTCTAGTTAACAATAAGTAGGGTCCACTTGAGACAAAATATGTAGGGCAATTTCAAAGTAGAGAAGGAGATGGTTGGTGGTCACTTTCAGAATAGCTACTCGATGATCCATGCAGTGATGCATCATGTCAGGTGCTATAGTCTGAAGGAACGTCTATGTAAGATGGCTCAGTGTTCAGTTCTGGTTGTTGTGTAATGATACAGTAATACAGTATGGTATCAATACAGCAATACAGTATGGTATCGATACAGCAATACAGTATGGCATCGATACAGCAATAGCCTGATAAGCACTACAAATGACCGATACAAACCAGCGAGGTAGGGTCTGTTTGCTGGCCGGCATCCCAGCCTTCCTGCCACCGTAACAGCAGAACAGATGGGTACCCGTATGGATCCCTTGTTTTCGCTTGATATAGACCTTCAGGGTCTTACGGACATCCAACGGGTGAGTGCCTGTTGCAGAGGTCCCCGATGTGGAAGGCTGGGTAAGAGTAGGAAGTTTGATAGGAGCTGTCACATGGAAAGCGTGATCGATCTTCGGACGGTAAGTATCCGGGAAGCGAATACTGACACGATCTGGATGGAACACAGTCAGCGCCGGGTCTGCCGACATAGCATGTAAGTCGCCAACCCTTGGCCCAGATGTTACCGCCACCAGAAATACAGCTTTCCATGTTAACAACTGAATGGTAATAGCCGATAGACGTGAGAAGGTAGGACCGGACAGCCAATCTAGCAAGATTGACAAATCCCAAGGTGAGCTGGTACGCCTGAGAGCAGGTCGAACCCGATCCACGCCAGCTAATAAGCGCTGCAGAAGAGGGTGCTGCCCCATAAGAGCACCATCGACAGGGGTGTGAAAAGTGGAAATAGCGGTGGAGTAGCCACGAATGGTCGAAGCCGCCAAGCCTTCAGAGACATGACGGCACCGGAGTGTGCCTTATGCCAATGAACTCTGGCGGGCCTCGCTACAGTGGTATGCCGACCCTGACAGTGGATAGCACCCAAGTGTTGCTAGTAGCCTTCTCCCACTCCGGTAGGAATAGAGAGTGACGGCACCGGAGTGTGTTAAGAGTGTGTGAGTGGTCCCCTGCAGATGAACATTATCTGGGACGGACCCATGGCGACAGCCAGCAGGTTTTAAGGGAGGTCGGGGCAGACCCCCTACGACCGCAAAAAGGCTGCTGGGAGCCAGCCTTCTCCTTGCCCTTACCTTTGGCAGGACGGCTCCTCCTCCTACCTCTACCCAGCTTCCGAAGCCAGCCGGTAGACTCGTGCGTAGGATGCGCCCAGGAGGAAGAACCCACTATGGGAGCGTTAGGGCGAGAAGCCCGCGTTTGCTCCAACAAGGCCTTAGAGTCCTTGAAGGAGGTCGCTGCTGCAGCAACCTCCTGAATGACCTGCTGTGTCCCCGGAATCAGCGTCGCTCCCAGCCAAAATGGAAGGGCCAGCAAGGTCTGCTGTGTTGCTGCCAAATAATGGGATGTAGACAGCCACAGCTTGCACATCCCCATGACTGCGCACATCACCGTGGACGCGGCAGACCATAGAGAGTCTCGCGGAGAAGAACAACATGCGGGGAAACGTCACCAGTGCTCCAGTACGCCTCGTGGACCACGACCTGCACCTGCTGCATGGCATTCCGGTAGACTTCCTTGTAAGTCTGGTAAGCCTATTGTAGGGGGGCACCCGCCAGGGCAAACGTTGGTATTAACCGCCTTTGCTTGGCAGCTGGGGCTGCACCTGAGGAAGCCCAGCCTCCCCCTAGGGCGAAGCAAATACACACTTGTCCACCACCGGCACAAAGAACAGAGAATCGTCACCCAGCTGATACCTCTTAACGAGTTCGGGAAGATCGAACCAGAGGCGAGAACCAACCAGGAGAGGATCCATCACGTCCTGCACCAGGGAGGGCAAGCTGCGGAGCTGTGTCTGAAAGGGCTGCCGAGGAGCAAACGCCTCACCCGGCAGGCGGAACTCGAGGCGAGCTACATGTCGTCACCGCGGCTTGAGGAAGATACAGGGCAATACGTTGCCTAACCTCCCGGAGAGACGTCGAAAAACGGAAAGCACCCTCCGACTCCTCTACCTCCCCAACCTCCATTGACTCGGCACCCGAGCCCTAGTCAGAATTCGGATCTCCACGTGAAGAGGAGCCGAGCCACAGACGCCACGGGAAGGGAAGAACTGAAGGAACTCTCAGCTCTGGTAACCGACACAACACTCGAACCCCGGTCCCGAAACACGGGAGGAAGCCCGGCCAGAACCGGCTCCTCCGCTCTCGTTAAGTATCCGGGAAGCGAATACTGACACGATCTTGATGGAACACAGTCAGCGCCGGGTCTGCCGACATAGCATGGCCTAAGGACTGGAATCCCAGGAATCCTCAATTGACCCTGCGCCAAGACCGAGAAAGAGACTGGGAGCGAACCCTGCCCCTTCGGGGTAGCCAAGGCATCCGGACCCGAAGCCAAAGGCAAAGGATCGACAGATGCCTCCAGGCCCAGGGATCGAGCTGAGCTCGGCGATCCCACTCTTGGCCCCCCGATCAGAGTGGGCGAGGAACTCCTGTCGGAGACCTCCAACCGACTCATGAACGAGGAACTTATGGAACGAGTCCATATGCTGTTGAAACAATTGTGTAATAATGGACATATCAAAACCACTAGATTGCTGAGAGTGTGATGTATGCGAAGTCGCCTTAGATTTAACATTATTGGCCCTGGATAGGGGAACCTCCTGGGTCAAGTCCTTTCCCACCTCACACAATTCCTTGTAAAAAAGGAAGTCAGCCGCCCGTCTCTTCTGGGCCCGAGGGGAGAAGCCCATACACAATTCACAGATGTCAGGGCTATGCCCTGCCTTCTCCAGACAGCATAAGCATTTGTCATGCTAATCTGAGAGAGAAATATTTTGCCAGCAGGCACTACACCCCGTAAACGCCTGAAAGCAAACATGCAAGCATGTAGCTAACGGCAGAACACAACAGCATAAAGATACACGTACAAAACATTGAAAATTATGTGAATGCGACAACGTGATGAAATACTTGGTTAATAACGCAATATTTCCACCACGTGGCATGCTAAACTTCCCGCCATGGAATAGCAACACGTGCGTAAACCACGGAAAAGCTAGCATAAGAGTTTAATACAAAGTCACATAAAGGAGATATAACTGACTGCAAAGTCAATAAAACGATTCTCAAGAACGAATAAACCATACATAAAGTAGTTGAAGTCTCAGACATTCTTCCAATAAGAAGTAATCAGCTAGTAACTCTCAGGAACACATGTGAACGCTAGAGTGACAGCAGAAGGAAAGATGATACGGGCCTAGGTGCTTACAGGGTTGGCTGCGCATGCGTAGCAGGGAGGTAACTCCACGTGGTGGGGGTCATATAATAGATAAAAAAGATTTTATTTATTCTACAATTTTTTATTAAAACATTGATGCAATTGTCACATGACATTTTCAGCCGTAGAAAATGCATATATGTACCCAAAGGACGATCTCTATGAAAAAGAATGCCATTTACCATGTGAACTGTCCACATGAACTGGCATTCAACTGGTTTCACTAACTGAATGTCATTAAATTAGTTTGTCAACTTTTAATTCCAAATGTGTTTTATTCCTCGCAGGTAACTTTTCCTGGGATCAGTATTTGAAAGAGAGCAATGAGGTTGCGGCCCCTAGCTCTTGTTTTAAACAGGTAGGACCAAGTTTTCAAAATGATTATTTTTCCTTATCCTGACTCATGATATTTTGCTTATCTCCTTCTCCTATGCAAATGGTAGTGGAACACTTGAATCCCTTGTAGTTCCCTAAAGCGGACGTAAAAGTTCACTCACCCACGAGTTGCCTCCCTTTTCCCACGCAAACAGTCATGTGACCTGCCATACTTCCACTCTTCCTTCATCGCCCAAGCGGATGGTTCGAGTCCTGTATACGGCACCATATCCTTTAATATTTAATATTTAGATCCTTTATCCAATTTAAACTGTGTATGGTTTTTTGGTTATATTGAGCTTTCATTGTGTGTCAAAATTTTGATAAAATTATTCATTATTTGTGACATTTATTCATCATAATATAGTTTGTTTACATTTGATGAAATCTTGCAGTGTTGCAGGTACCGGCTATCAGTGGCTGATCCTCATTTCCAATGCCCGTCATGCATTAATCCATGTTCTTCCAGCTTGCGTTAAAGATTCTTTATTAATTTATCAGATTTGCAATTTAATCGTTATTTGTGTTACATCTATAGACGTGCGTTGGACCAGGTGAGGAAGTCATCTCAAGTCACTGGTGAAAAAACTGGAGATAACGCCGGTAACCGTATGTTGTTAACTACTGCTGTAATTCATAACTCAGGTGATTTGCCGAGTATGTTACAGGGGCAGTCGTCTGTTTTAGTCGGGATTTAGCCGGGTCTAAGAAGAGGTCTGCTTCTACTGAGTTGACGCCAGCGGGGAGTAAAAGAGAGATGTCTTCATCGTCTGCGGCACAGAAGATATCGTCTTCATCTAGAACCTCGTTGAAGTCACGAAGACATTGTGCCTCCTGACGAAGCAGACATATATGCTGACCCTCCGATACTACTGTCTGTAGTACCAGTAAGATCTACCAGAGCGGCGACGCAGTCTACCTCCACGGCGACATGATTGTCCCTTGCAACCATGACAGCTGTTCAATTGTTTGAGGACCAGCCTCCAGCAACGCAGACGTCTGTCAACAGAGACGGCAACAACAGCATAGCATCATCGCAGCTGCATGTAGACGCAGATGACGCGTCAGCGTTCTCAAAAGCTTCATCTACACTGCATCAGTTCCAGCCTACAACGCAGAACTTCGACCCAGATGAATTCATGAGGCAGTTTACAACGCAAATCGGAGATGATGGAGCAGACGTTCGCCGAACGAAGAGCTGTACGGCAGAACCCTACGATGACAGACGGCGCTCGCTTAACGCTCCTGAGTCTACAAAGGGGTTCCTGAACGCCACTGAGTCTCCAAGGGGTTTGGCGAACGTCACTGAGTCTACAAGAGGTTCGGCGAACATCCCAGAGTCTACAAGAGGTTCGGCGAACGTCCCAGAGTCTACAAGAGGTTCGGCGAACGTTCCTGAGTCTACAAGAGACTATGAAGCCATATCGGCAAAACCGACAACAACGCAATCATCTACAGGGTTCGGTGAACCCTTACATCCACAGGCAGATATCAGCAACGCAGACATCTACAGGGTTCGCAAACCCTCATATCATCAGACAGATATCAGCAACGCAGACATCTATAGGATTGGCGAACCCTCAGATCAAAAGGCAGATTTCAGCAATGCAGACATCTACAGGGTTCGCGAACCCTCAGATCTACAGGCAGATTTCAGCAATGCAGACGTCTACAGGGTTTGCGAACTCTCCAAGATTATCAACGATAATATCATCAGCAGATTATGGTCAATACATTAGTGTTTTTGAACGCCACTTCATAGGTTTTGCAAAAGGAAGGTTTGGGAAGGCACAGTTCGGCGAACCCTGAACTATCTGAGGAAGCAGAGGTCACATCTTGGATCGCAAATGGCCTGGACTTGGCGTACCCCTCCATGGAATCGAATGCAGTGTTCACATATAAGATGCTGGAGGATGACTTTGACACCCTCACGATTCCATCGATTAAACTGATCTACAAGATATCTGCAAACCTTCGTACAGGAAAGGAACCTGATACCAGAATCAACATGTATCAACGTTCAACGCTAAGAGGTTCCCTCTGCATCACATGGACCCCTTCATGAGAGCGTCGGACCTGGATGACAACTTGAAGTTGATCAACGACTCCCTTAACAAGTCTTATAAGGTGGAAGACAAGAAGATTGTTCAACTCGACACCACGACTAGAAGAACGTTCTTCGGCCTGGCGAGATCTAGAGCAACCAACGAGGCGTTGATTTCCAGATTCCAGAACCAGCACTTCATGTCAGATCACCTGACCTCGGCGTCGACGGGTCTCACCTTACTATGAAGACAAGGTCTACTATTGACAGGTTCTTGGAGTAACAGGTTCACCCAACCTCTGCTAGAGCTCCTTGGGCGGTGCCTATTATCTTCGGCGGGGAGATCGACGTAGTTGCCAAGGAAGTCACACAGGATTCCAGAGAAGTCATGATAATCAAGTCCAACGTCATCCGCCAAACATTACTGAGGTATAGCAGAAGATGGGGTTCAGAACGACTGGACACTTCCTCCCCCAGTTGTTCCTGTACAACCGTTGACAGTGGGTGAACGTCTACAAAGGTAACTTGTTTGAGTGGCATTTTAGAAGTTGAGACGTACAATATAGAACAAGTTTTATGGATAACAACTTCTTTATTTCGCGGAGTGCGACGCCGATACAGATTCTTGTACCGCTGCCAAGCAAGAGTGATACATGAAGTGTAGGCTGCATATATATACTGTATATAACAATGAAACAACATAATAGACAAAGGAAACAACATAATTGCCATGATTGGCTAAGCAGTAAGCTGAAGAAGCCAGTGAGTACACAAAGGATAGTGAATGGAAGCCAGAGATGTAGTTACAATGAGATGTTTAAACAATAGATGCGATGTTTATAATAATAGATTGGGCTTGTGGTGGAGGAGTGGATCATAAGCCGATGGAAATTTGAAGCATCCTTGGTCACGGTTGATGGTGGGCTTGTGGCGTTTGATGAATGGCTTCTGTGAGCTTGGCGCTTAGTGAAGTCCGCTTGGTTGTTGGCGAATGGTGATGTCGGACCACTCTATTTGATGATTGGGGTTAGCTTTGATGTGGTCAGAGATAGCTGACTTGGTGTCGGAATTAGCAACAGAGGTGCCGATATGTTCTTTGACTCCGGTGTTGATGGGTCGGATGTTTCACCTATGTAGCATTGTCCACAATCACAGTTTATTTTGTAAATAACACATTTCGGGTTGTTGTTGTTGACGGCGGTGGGTTGTTTTCTTCCATTGGCATGGAGGAGGTTGTTGAGGCTGAGGACGCTGAGAAGGTTGTGTCTATGCCTGCCTGTTGTTTCAGGAGTCGGCCGATTTGGTGTGATGGTTTACCAATGTAGGGAATGGATATCTTGATGGGGGCTGATTCTGGTTTAGATCTTTTGGCAGGAGGTGAAAGCGCTGTTTCCTGGTTCTGTTGACTATTTCAGGTGGGTAGTGGTTGGCGCTCTCTACAAAGACTTTCCTCAGGTGTTCAATTTCTTCCTGTAGGTTCGTTGAGCAGATGTTTTTGGCTCTTCTGGTCAATGTAGAGATGACGCTTGGTCTTGACTTTAGGGGTGGTTGGAGTTGTAGTGGGATGTATTGATCCGTGATGAGTAGGTTTTCTGTACACGGAGGTCTGGAGTTGGTTGCAGGAGGTGCGGGACATTGATGTCGTGGACCAACAAATAATCCCTAAAGGCCTACAGCTCAGATCTCCCATCCAGTCTGCAGCAGCCAAAGCCATCCTTCACCTAACTTCCACAAACTCCTCACTGAACGCGATCCGACATCATCGCGAAAAAATCAAGGCCACCCACCTCCGGCCATCAATGACCTCCTTCCACACCTCCCTCAGCTCCACCCTTGACCCAGAACTCTTCTCCTCCTTACAAACTGCCTAAACTACCGCCAACAACAAACTAGACACCTCAACTAAGACCGGACACATCAAGAAACTACAAGAACTCACTGCCTCAGGAACCAAGACTTGCTTGAAAAAAAGAGGTTACTTTGCCAGAGCAGCGAGAGCAGTAATCCTAGTTCTACGCAGATCGACTCGCAACTTGTACAACGACAAGTGGCAGAGAGTTGAACAGTATACAGTGCAAAAAAGCAATGAAAGCAATGCATCCTCAAGTGGCGGAATATCTATGTCACTTCAGATATACGAGACGATTGAAAGGTTCGACACTATCTACATACCTGGCAGCTATCAGTACAGTCGTCATGATGAAGATGAGCATCAATCTGACGGAAGTGTCAGAACTACTTGCTCTACTATGCTCCTTCAAACTGGAAGACCAGCAGAAGAAATCCAGAGCACCAGTCTGGGATCTGAACAGGGTTCTACATCTTCTTATGAGTGATGTCTATGAATCACTGGAGTAGACTACCTTCGAGCTACTCATACAGAAAACTCTGTTCCTCCTTGCCTTAGCCATGGCAGCTTGGATGTCTAGGTGCTGGACTTTGGACGAACTAGATTCGACACGGGAAACTGTGCTGCAGTACATCTAGGACTTAGATGGGATTTCTCTGCAAAGAATCAGTTACCTGGCCAACCGGACAGTCAGTTCCACGTCCCAGCGCTATCTACGATCCTCAGAACAGAGGACACCCAGGACTTATCCTTGTGTCCTGTCAAAGACCTGAAGATATATCTTCAAAAGACTAAAACAAGGCGTAGACATTCATTCGCCTATTCATCCCCTTTGTCAGCAGAGACAACCGTAGAAGTCTCAAAGACGACAATATCATTTTGGATGTGAGCCAACAAAGCAGCAGGACTAGAACCACCAAGAGCTTCCAACCTACACGAAGTCAGAGCACTGGCGGTCCACACTTTCTGCACGGAAGCTGCTAGGGTATCAGCTATAATGGAGGGCTGCTTTTGGCATCAAATTGACGAAAGTACCTAAATTACTTGCTCTGTTAGCTCTTTTAAACTGAAAGAACAGCAAAAGAAATTCAGAGCACCAGCCTGGGATCTGAACGTAATTCTACGACATCTCATGGGTGATGCCTCTGAACCTCTGGAGCATACTACCTTCGAGCTACTCACACAGAAAACTTTGTTCCACCTTGCTCTAGCTACGGCAGCTTGAATGTCAGAGATACATGCGCTGGACTTTGGATGAACTAGGTTTGACACGGGACACCATGCTGCAGTACATCTAGTACTTAGTTCGGATTTTATTGCATAGAATCAACTACCTGGTCAACCAGATAGACAGTTCCACGTCCCAGTGCTATCTACGATCCTCGGACCAGAGGACACCCAGGACTTATCATTGTGTCCTGTCAGAGCCCTGAAAATATATCTTCAAAACACTAAAACAAGGAGAAGATAATTCAAGCACCTTTTCATCCCCTTGTCAACGGAGACATCAGTGGAGGTCTCAAGAACGACAATATCATTTTGGATGAGAGCCGTTATACTAAGAACCTACAAAGCAGCAGGATTAGAACCTCCAAGAGCTTCCAACCCACACGAAGTCAGAGCTCTTGCGTCTACACTCACTCTGCACGGAAACTGCTCAATATCATCAATAATGGAGGGCTGCTTTTGGAAGTCAGATACAGTGTTTTCCAACCACTACCTCCAAGACATACTAGTAGCCACTGAAGACGTCTCCGGCATTCACCAGTTTGGGCCTCTTGTTGTAGCACAGCAACTAACAGTTCCTCAAAGGTACTGAGTTGGAAATCTCACCCTTTATCACGTTGACTTGTTGATAACTTTTACTATGAAGAAGTTTTAGTTTGAAAGTCCATGCTCACCGTCTAGACTAGACTAGCATGAGTGATTAAGACTCTGTACGGGTAATGATCTTACCTGTACGTTAAGGGGTCGCAACTCATTTATGATAACGATCATATCATAATCTATGGGTTGTTAGAGATAACTAGTAAAAAGAAGATACTAGTATATCTAAAATCCACATGAATCTAGAAGATTCACTTGACTGAGAGAGAAGTAAGACAAGATTGTGGTCCCCCCGAGTTTATAATGGAAGTTGGAAGAATAGGATCTAAGAAGAGCCGTTACGCAGTTCCCATGGGGAGGATACAGGACGTATCTATGGACAGCTGATGAATCCAGGAAGTGGCTTGACCCACCACCAATCCATCGGATTCTATAAGGAAAAGATCATGAGTCAGGATAAGGAAAACTATGTAATTTTTTAAAGTAAAATTGATATTTTATACTTATCCTGACTCATGAGGTCAAACCCTCCCAACCTCCCAACTGAAGACATTCCAAGTGCATGGGCTAAATTCAGGAGAGAGTGTCAAGTATGGCACGTCACATGACTCTTTGCACGGGAAAAGGGAGGCAACTCGTGGGTGAGTGAAGTTTTATGTCCGCTTTAGGGAACTACAAGGGATTCAAATGTTCCACTACAATTTGCATAGAAGAAGGAGATAAGCAAAATATCATGAGTCAGGATAAGTATAAAATATCAATTTTACTTAAAAAATTACATGCTTTTGAAAACGCTAAAGCCTTTCAGATTTCTACATTTTACCACTCACAAAAAAATAATCCTTTTATATTTTTTCAAATTAGGAAATAACGGTGCTGTGTCACATTTCAGTCTTCAGTTCCTCCCGTAAATGAGTTCAAGGTGAATCACAAGCTTGAAGCTGCCGATCCTCGCAATTTGACGTCCATCTGCGTAGCAACAGTCGTTGGAATTCAGGGCCCACGGCTGAGGTTGCGACTCGACGGCAGTGACAACAAGAATGACTTCTGGAGGCTGGTAGATGCTGGTGACCTTCACCCCATAGGTTACTGTGAAAAACATGGCGGTCTGTTGCAGCCCCCACTAGGTAAAGGGAGATAAGCATTGATTTCTTTGATTGGCATTCTAGAAGTTGGGTAGATGAAGAATGAGGACTATTTTTATGGATATACAACTTCTTTATTCTATATAGGCGACGTTTCGTGTTAAGCAAGTGGTACATGGGAAGTAATTTGGGTGATATACATACATGAGATGTTTGTACAATAGATGAGAGATGAGGCGAAACTGAGTTGTTTATACAATAGAAGAGGTTAATAACACAGGATTAAGTAGGTTGATAGGAAGCCTGTACAAACATCTCATGTATATATATCACCCAAATTACTTCCTATGTACCACTTGCTTGACAACGACATTAGAACCTATGTCGGAACGTCGCCTATATAGAATAAAAAAGGTGTATATCCATAAATATAGTCCTCATTCTTTGATAAGCATTGATGAGTATGAAAATGCATCCAAATAATGATAATTAAGCACTTGTTTACACTCATGTTGACCATAGTTCTTTTTGTGCCCTCCATTGATTTCCGGGGCGGTGGGGTAGCCTGATGGTTAAAGCGTTCGCTCGTCACGCCGGAGACTCGGGTTAATTCCCCACATGGGTACAATGTGTGAAGCTCATTTCTGGTGTCCCCCGCCGTGATATTGCTGGAATATTGCTAAAAGCGGCGTAAAACCAAACTCACTCACTCACTCCATTGATTTCCATTCAGAATAGGAGTGGTAGGGTACACTAGAGGTGTCATTCCTGAACCAAAATGATTGACCAACATGACACTTTGCAATTGGTGGCCAGGATCTGTGACTTGGCTGACTGCAGGCCATCCATTGTAATCTGGTGGAATCTTCGTTGTAATATCAACAGCAGTTTTCATGGTTAAAATCTGGCTATTAACTGGCCACAGTAACATTCTTGAAAGATTTGTAGCTGCTGTACAATGTTAAAAGAATCAAAATCTTAGGGACAAATCTTTGTTTTCCAGGTTTCAGAGCCAATCCCTCCTCGTGGCCTATGTTCCTGAAACGGTCATTAAACGGGGCAGAAATAGCCCCTGATAGATGTTTTAAAAAAGGTATGTACATCGTTTGAAGAAGCTTTTCTCTTTGAAGGACATGGTTTGTGGCTCAAACTATCAGTCACTGGTTTGTCTGGTCCAGAGTTTTAGTTACAGGTCTCCGTCATATGGCTCTAATACAGCTGTATGAAATTTTAAGTTACAAATAAACATCTGTTAAAAATTGGGATTAGTAACCAAATTAGCTATACTACTCAGTTTAATGGACCAATCAGAATACGAGATACAAACCAACCTCAATGTTGTACTTCCAATGTCAGCAACATGGCTCTCAGTCCAAATGATTGAAATAGAAATTGCTAGAAAATGAATGACTTAAAAAAGAAAAACCTAAAATATCTTTCTGATGAGAAGAATGTCTTCCTGTCCATTAAAACATGTAGTATCAAATACCTTTGCTTCCAAACATTCTCTGTGATACACCCAATTCATTTTTCTTTCTTAGTGGGGGCAGTAGGGTAGCCTAATGATTAAAGTGTCCGCTCATCACTCTGAAGACCCGGGTTTGATTCCCCACATGGGTACAATGATATTGCTGGAATATTGCTAAAAGTGGCGTAAAACCATACTCACTCACTCACTTTTCTTAGTGTTAGATTTTTCCTTATCCTGACTCATGATCTTTTGCTTATCTCCTTCTTCTATGCGAATGATAGTGGAACACTTGAATCCCTTGTAGTTCTTAAAGCGGACGTAAAAGTTCTCTCAACCACGAGTTGCCTCCCTTTTCCCGCGCAAACAGTCATGTGACGTGCCATGCTTGCCACTCATTCCTGAGCGGATGGTTGGGCGAGCACTGGAGTCCCGTATAAGGCACCATATCCTTTAATATTTAGATCCTTTATCAAATTTAAACTGTGTATAGTTTTTTGGTTATATTTAGTTTTCATCGTGTGTCAAACTTTTTATAAAATTATTCATATTTTGTGACATTTATTTATCATGATGTAGTTTGTTTGATCCTCACCTCCAATGCCCGTCATGCATTAATCCATGTTCTTCCAGCTTGCGTTACAGATACTGTATTAATTTATTAATTTATCAGATTTGCAATTTAATCAATATTTATCTTATATCTATAGACGTACCATGGACCAGGTGAGGAAGTCATCTCAAGTCACTGTTGATAAACCGGAGATAATGCCCGGTAACCATGTGTTGTCTTCTACTGCAGAAATACACAATACTAGTGATTTGCTGAGTACGTTTCAGGGGCAGTCGTCTGCTGTTGTTCGTGATTTAACTGCTTCTAAGAAGTGGTCTAACTCGTCCAAGACGTCGTCATCGCAGTCTAAGAAGGAGATGTCTTCATCAACCTCGACGCAGAAGAAGTCATCTGCATCCAGACCTTCAGTGAAGTCGCCTCGTTCCGGTTTAATGAAGACATTGTGCCGCCTGCCGAAGCAGACGCTTTTTGCTGACCCGCCGACCCGCTGATACTTCTGCCTGAAGTACCTCTCAGATCGGCTAGAAGAGCGACGCAGTCGACCTCCACGACAACTAGATCGTCTCCTGCAACTACAACAGCTGCTCAGCTGTCCGATGACCAGCTCACAACAACGCAGACATCAGTCATCAGTGAAGTAGACAACACCTCAGCGTTCGCGAACGCTTCGTCCACGCCGCAGCAGTTCCAGCCTACAACGCAGAACTTTGACCCGGGCAACATAATGAGGCAGTTTACAACGCAGATGACGGCCTTGATGGAGCGTTGGTTTGCCGAAGAAGCAGCAGCCCAGCAGAACCCTACGATGGCAGTCAACGTTCGCAAACCCTCCGACCTGCATGAACCTGAAGCTGCTACACCCCAGAGGTTTACAACTGCAGATGAGGTTCGCGAACAGCCACGTTCACGAAAGATCTTCACACTCAGAAGACTCTATCATCATGGAAGATGAAGGTTCCACAAACCTCCCAGATGCGTCTGTGAACCCTCAACATTCGAGAATGTCAAGGAGGTCTTCTCCGAAATCCAGTCGATCCTCATCTAGATCCCACAGCCCACGCAGACGTTCGGGGAAACGTTCGCGAAAGGAAGGTTCAGATCAACAGACGATAATCAGCAATGCAGACTTCTACAAGGTTCGTGAACTCTCAGATCAACAGGCAGATATCAGCAACGCAGACATCTACAGGGTTCGCGAACCCTTAGATCAACAGGCAGGATGATGACGTCGACTCTATTACCATACGGCTGAATTAAACGAAGCAATGATTAAAACATTCAAGAATCCGCAGTCAGAATGAAAACGGATGGTTTTGTCAGCGCTTATAACTCAACAAAAAAGATCAACCACATGTGCGATCTCTACAGCTTACAGCCTGCACAACTCTACAACCTGCACGAACCTTACACCTGTAGTAGGTTCAATTTCAGACGACAACCTACTTGATGAGGGGAATCCCTTCATCTACACAGATGCGGAGATCTTATCCTGGGTAGTGGATGGCCTGCTGATATTGTCGTTCACTCACTCACTCCAACCCAAAAGAGACGTACTGCTTATATGCTGATGACTTCGACTTCGAATATGATATCACCTATGAAGCCGATATCTCAAGTACTGGAGAACCTCAAGGCGACCTTCATAAAGGGCTTAAGGTTAACAACGCCTTCAAGAATCCTTGGACGGACGTACAGATGATATTATTAACACTCATCACTCAGTGTGGGGATTAGGAATCTATATCCTATCAACTTGATTCAACATCGGTATTCTTCAAGATCCATACAGACATACATCTCGACTGCCTCCTTCGTCATGCTGGCTTATATTATCCACAGTGGGAATACGTGATTAATATCACTGAACAATATTTTACACTTGGAGCAACCCTTATTCAAGAGGTTTATATGAGCGGCGGAGTAGAATTACGAGCGCTTTTACTCAACCAACTATTGCACCCGATTTTATGGAGGCCAACTTGCAACAACACCGGTAACGTCATGCTTGGAAGCTGATTGGTCCAGGACAGAGAACACCTCTTACTGACAGATCAGGTGCCAGCAAGTTTACTGCCTATCCAGACCACGCCATCCTTCACCCACAGAGTGGATGATACACCCGGAGGCATTCCAACTACTGATAGCAGACCAAGGTCGTCCTCTCATAGATTTAATTGCGACACGTTTCAGTCACCAAGTGACCATGTATGACTCACCAGTACCAGATTCTCAAGCCTGAGTTCTCGATGCACTGTCAATCCTATGGGAAGGACTATCACATATGTGTTTCTGTCGCCGGTCCTATTACCACAAGTACTGCACAATATAGCACAGACTAGAGTACTACGCCTGCTTGTGGCCTCACCCTACTGGTCAGCGTGAACCTGGTTTCGAGACCTAATACAGCTCATAGGTGAACCAACAATGCGCCTACCGACTGGCCGAATCTACTGATCCATCCACACACATGACAGTGCCATGGCAATCTAACAGGATTCCGACATCACGTGTGGACCATATTAGCACTGCTTGAAGAAAAGAGGTTATTCCTCGAGAGCAGCTAAAGCAGTCACGATGGCAGGACCTAGGATCTAGGACCTAGATGGGACTTCACTGCAAAGAATCAGTTACTTGGCCAACCGGACAGACAGTTCCACGTCCCAGCGCTATCTATGATCCTCAGATCTGAGGACACCCAGGACTTATCCTTGTGTCCTGTCAGAGCCCTGAAAATATATCTTCAAAAGACTAAAACAAGGCGAAGAAAATTCAAGCGCCTATTCATCCCCTTTGTCAGCAGAGATGACAGTAGAAGTCTCAAAGATGACAATATCATTTTGGATGTGAGCCGACAAAGCAGCAGGATTGCAACCTCCAAGAGCTTCCAACCCACACGAAGTCAGAGCACTGAGGTACACACTCGCTGTTAGATATCAGTTATAATGGAGGGCTGCTTTTGGAAGTTGGACACAGTGTTTGCCAACCTCTACCTCAGAGACATCACCTCTGACAACGTCTCCGGCATTCACCAGTTTGGGTCACTTGTTGTAGCACTACAACTAACGGTCCCACAAAGGCGCTGAGTTGGAAATCTCACCCTTTATCACGTTGACTTGTTAACATTTACTACGAAGAAGTTTTAGTTTGAAAGTCCATGCGCAAAGTCTAGACTAGACTAGCATGAGTGATTAAGACTCGGTACGGGTAATGATCTTACCTGTACATTAAGGGGTCGCAACTCATTTATGATAACGATCTTATCATAATCTATGGGTTGTTAGAGATAACTAGTAAAAAGAAGATACATGTATATCTAAAATCCACATGAATCTAGAAGATTCACTTGTCTGAGAGAGAAGTAAGACAAGATTGTGGTCCCCCCCGAGTTATAACGGAAGTTGGAAGAATAGGATCTAGGAAATGGCGTTACGTAGTTCCCATGGGGGGGATACAGGACGTATCTAAGGACAGCTGATGAATACACGAAGTGGCTTGACCCACCACCAATCCGTCGGATTCTATAAGCAATAGATCATGAGTCAGGATAAGGAAAACTATGTAATTTTTTAAGTAAAATTGATATTTTTTACTTATCCTGACTCATGAGGTCAAGCCCTCCCAACCTCCCCGCAGAAGACATTTTGGGTTTCCCAGCAAACCCAGGTGCATGGGCTTATTCAGGAGAGAGTGGCAAGCATGGCATGTCACATGACTGTTTGCGCAGGGAAAAGGGAGGCAACTCGTGGGTGAGAAAAAGGGAGGCAACTCGTGGGTGAGAAAACTTTTAAATCTGCTTTAGGGAACTACAAGGGATTCAAGTGTTCCACTAACATTCGCATAGAAGAAGGAGATAAGCAAAAGATCATGAGTCAGGATAAGTATAAAATATCAATTTTACTTTAAAAATTATATTTTTATTCTGTGTAATTGCTAACTGGCTTCATACAACTTCCACTCACTAGTCTTTGACTGTTAGACTTGAAGACAGCTTATTGATGACACTTTTAACACCAGGAACCATCAACACCAAAGACAAATGAGTTTAAGGTTGGACAGAAGTTGGAGGCTGTGGACCGGAAGAACCCCCAGCTGATCTGTCCGGCCACAGTGGGAGCAATCAATGCAGACCAGATCCATGTGACCTTCGATGGATGGAGGGGGCCTTTCGACTACTGGTGTAGATATGACTTTCGGGACATCTTCCCTGTGGGCTGGTGTGCACAGAGTGGTCACCCCTTACAACCTCCAGGGCAGAAAGGTGAGGACAGTAATTGGGCAGATCAGGAGGTGGTTGCTTTACCTATGTATGTGTGGAAGTCTGGCTCTCTCTATGGATTAGTTACTCGTTTATGTTTTCCATGAGAGCTGACTAAATTCATGATATGTCGTAATTTGTGTTGGCCTATGCAAACATTGGCCTATTGTGTCCATGGTACTTTTCAAACATGACCAGCATTGCCCATCATGGCGGCAACATTATTTTTTATCTCCTGTTAATTTCTGGTTGTATTTAATGTAGTTTAGTACTGTTTATATGTGTGTTCTTCCCAGGAGTGCCCCAGTACAAAATCAACAAGATGATGAAAGACTCTTCCCTCCAGCTGACTGTTCCACAGCTCCTCCCTATGACCAACTCCTCCTCTCACAGCCGCACCCCTCAGCCCAGCCCCACTAGTCCGTCAGTGTCCCCCGAGAAGCAGCAGTTGTCTCCCCGGGAGGCCGCCTCACCTGTCGTCACCGTCTCCGAGCCAGACACAAGCTCCTCACAGAGCATTGCAACAGGTGAGATAGCGGTACATTTATCACTGTTTCTTCACAAGCTTTGTATTGCACTGTGGGTGAAATTCTGGAAAAGAATAAAGGAACGCTTGTACTTTCGTGTGTTCCCTTCGTATCCATGAGTATATGTCACTGCCCTGAGCCAGACACAAGCTCCTCACAGATCATTTACAACAGGTGGGATATGTCACTTCGTTTCCGGGCCAGACACAAGCTCCTCACAGAGCATTGCAATAGGTGAGATGTAGGGATATTTGTCACTGTCTCTAAGCCAGACACAAGCTCCTCACAGAGCATTGCAACAGGTGATATGTAGGGATATTTGTCACTGTCTCTAACAGACACAAGCTCCTCACAGAGCATTGCAACAGGTGATATGTAGGGATATTTGTCACTGTCTCTAAGCCAGACACAAGCTCCTCACAGAGCATTGCAACAGGTGAGATGTAGGGATATTTGTCACTGTCTCCAAGCCAGACACAAGCTCCTCACAGAGCATTGCAACAGGTGAGATGTAGGGTGATTTGTCACTGTCTCCAAGCCAGACACAAGCTCCTCACAGAGCATTGCAACAGGTGATATGTAGGGACATTTGTCACTGTCTCCAAGCCAGACACAAGCTCCTCACAGAGCATTGCAACAGGTGAGATGTAGGGACATTTGTCACTGTCTCCAAGCATGACACAAGCTCCTCCCTCTGGAACATCACTTTAGCTTAGGTTCAGTTGAGAGTTACCTCCCTTCCTCTCACGGATATTGACACATAACAGTAGCCAATTTGCAGACTTCTCTATACTTTGCTATTCTCTATGCCACCAGTGTCCACTGTCCACTGTATTAGGCATCCTTCAACCCTGTATGGAGTTTGACTCCGACTGAGCATTACATATATTTTTTCATTTTGTAATATGAATATTTAATTTATCTATTATGTTCCCAACTTTCCTCCTGTTCCCAGTATGTGTGTATGTGAACCCCACGTGTCGACTGGGGAACTACCTCAACCCCCGCAAGACATTACAACTACCTAGTCACTACGGCCCAGGCAGCTTGACCAGGATCCTGCGAGAAGTGGTGCAGGGTCTGATTGACTGCTCCCTACAGGAGAGGGTGATCTACAACATGGTCAAAGAGGGCAATGGCAAAGTCGTCGTAGCAGGTACATGATATTGGGATAAGCTGTAGTAAAACAGACGTAAATTAACTGTGAAGGAGGGCAAAAACAAGCTGTGGCAGAATTGGTCCACAGCATCACATGTATGTGACAGAGGAGTTGGGAATTCATGCCCTGCATGATAAACTGTTCTCCTTGTTGGTCTGCTGATGTTAAAAATGCACCCCCTACTCAATGGGGTAATGCAGCCCCTACTCAATGCGGTAATGCAGCCAGTACTCTAATAACTCCGGGATATACTAGTTACTTGGTATCACATACTTGCTGATGTCCTCTCTTATGTGAGGATGGAAACAGTGTCTGTGATATTGCTGGAATATTGCTAAAAGTGGCTTAAAACTAATCTCACTCACACACTGTAGTAAGCTGATGCAGTATGATGGAGGTAATTGTAGAGAAGTGTTGACGCAAGTTCACTCCATCTGTCACTATGTTTGTAGCTAACCACGGGTCTCGGACGCTGACAAAGAGGGTGATATCGGTGGAGAAGGTGTCCAGCTTCTGGAGCTTCCTGGAGCGTCTGCTAGAGGACATGGGCTGCTGTGAGAGCTTCCTGTCCAGTCAGCCGCTGGAGGGAGGTTGTCCCAAGTGTTCCAAGAGCAAGATGGCAGGTAGGCAGCACACCTGGATGCAGGAGATTGTGTCCCTTAGAATAAGCTACAGGATCCTGTGATTTGGGGTTGGTATCCCTGAACCCTCATAGCCTTCATCTTGTCATCTATATGTCTATATTAAAATCTTAATTTTTAACTTACCTTACCATAGGTCTTATGCATATTACCTCAAGCTCCGCTTAAAGAGATCAGACAGTCGTTGATTCGCCATTCTATAGAACGGCCACCTCGTGTATCGACGAGTATACAGGCAACGGAAGTGACGTGATCTCCCCTCCCACGCAAGCGCAGTCCATCCAAAATCACTTTTACTTCAAGCGTCTTGCTTGTCAGACGTTTTTGTTTCGCTAAGTTTTCAGACACTTACTAATAGATTTCAGATATTAAAGTTATTGGTATGTATGTTTTTCTATCTTATGTCTCTTCTCTGTGGGTGAAGAACATAATTTACAAGTAACTTCACTTACCTGGCTGCCTCGTGTTTATGTTGTTGTTGTTTTTTTCACTTCGGTTTGGGGTGTGTCCCCACGTTCCGAGATTTTTCCACGTGGCATGTTTGGGTGTTTTGATACCTTTAGGGTTCTTCCACCTTCTGTTTCATGCTTGTTTATGTGTACCTTCTTATTTCTTGCCTAATTTGTGTGTGTTTTCACGCTTTTTTCGGCTCAGTGTGGGGGCAGCCATCTTGGTTGTTTACACGACTGTCCCACTTACTTGGGCGTGCCCATTCTTGTTGTAGGGGTGCTTCCATTTTTTCGTCTGCAGGTTATGTTTCTAGGTTTTTACGTTTCACATTTGTGTGTTACAGCTTTTTGTGTGCATGACCCGGCAGTTTTGTTGCATCTGCAAGGTGCAGAAGTCTGCCAAGGACCCACACCCCTGGTGCCCAGACTGTGCGACTGTTGCCTGTTCCATTGACGAACGCTGTCACTTTTGTACTCTGCTGTCCGTCGTGAGATTTCAAGGCCTACCTCAGCGCTTTAAGAAGAAACGCTTGTCACAACGGAAGAGGAAAATGTCTTCCCCTGTTTCTTCTGTGGACTCGGTCTTCCTCCCTCGTCGCCGGGTCGGACGCTCTTCTCCTGTGATAGATCAGCCGCCCACCCCTGCGGCTCGTTTGCTTACGCTTCGAAGCTGCCCGCCTGACGCCTTTGTTGACCTATCCCACCCGGACGCTTTGTCGCATCCGGAGGTTCAGAAGTTGCCGGGACGCCCTTTTGCCGGCAGCTGCCGGAGCCTGCTAGCACCGTTCCAGCGCCGTTGCTAGCTTTGTCCTCTTGCCCGCGCCTGTAAGCACTTGATTCTCCCGTTGCTGGCTTGTTGCTTCAACCAACGTCGATGCCTACGCCGGCGCCTATGCCGACGCCGACACCTATGCCGACGCCGACGCCCATGCCGACGCCGACGCCCATGCTGACGCCGACGCCTGTTCCGACGCCAGCGCCAGCGCCAACTCCGACGCCTTTGACAGACTACCGTATCCCCAGGAAGGCTACAGTGTCTAGAGAGGAGGACCTACAACGTCAGTTAATGGAAGAGCGTTCCCGACGTCAGGACGCCGAGCGTTCCCATCGTTCTCGACGATCTCGTTCCAGGTCTCCTCGGCAGCATCATCGGTCTAGGGGTCCTCGTCTTAGTTCGGATACTTCTCTTCGACGTCGTCGGTCTGACTCAAGGTCTCGCTCTCCCGTACGTTCCAAGGATAGGGAGAGCGCCACGGATCACCGATGCGTGGGAGGCGATACCGTCGGTCCCGTTCAAGGTCACCTCCTGTTAAGCCACTCGCCATCGCTGGCGTCCGCGTCCCCGACAGTTACTTTGAGTGCTGCTTCTCAGTTGTCATCGGTCGCCCACGAAGCCTGCTGCTTCGGGTCAACGATTTACTGCTCTACCGTGGTCCTGGGAGGACACTGAGGCCGCTATTTTCTCCGATTATAATGAGGAAATGTTGCAAAGAGGATGATGATGATGGGGCACCTACCTCCCTCTCTCTGCTGTGTTCGACTGGATTGCCGACAGACTGCCGGATTGTCCTTCTCCCTCTTCAGGTTCGGGCCGACCGAAGGCTATTCGGTCTTCTCGAGTTACTCCTCCGCCTCACCCGATGGTGGCGATGCTGTGGCTTCTTTGGGCGCTGATTTTGCTACTTTGTCTCTCAATACCACTATTAAGGCTCCTAAGTCACGCATAAGGGGACTACAAGATACATAGTTTGGATTTTGCTGATGGAGGCGCGGCTCATGATGAATCCCTCAAAGCATCGGGTTCCCCACAGTCATCTTACCGAGTGCAGGACTCCAAGATGTTGGCCATTGATTCAGAACTCAAAGCGGATGTTGAAGCCTGTATCAGCGTTAGCCTCTGCAACTTCGGCTGCAGCTTGGGATTTGACGGAAGACAACCGTCAAGGTTAGAACATCTTACCACCCTGTTTCAATGGCAGGAGTAGGTGTTGCATGATTTGCTGGCGCACCTCCGGCGGCTTTGGCCATGACAACTGTTGTTCGGGCGGATGGGTTTCCTGGAGCCCTGTTCTTGGCAGGAAGAGTTTAAAGGAAACTGTTAAGAGCCCTTTATGCGTCGCTTCCTCTTTAATGACGGCATTCCAGAGGTGTATAAGGAACACGAGAGCTTACCAATCACGGAGGTTTCCTTGTCTACGTTGAAGCATTGAGTTGACCTTTAAATGGCAGATCATCTACAAGGGGAGGAGAGCCGTTACGTCGAAGAAGAGACTCCGTCCGCGGCGCCTCTGGCAGAGGGCGTGGCGTGGCAGATCGAACCTGTTTTCAGCGCCGTCAGCAGGATCGTCCCCCCGGACCCCTTCCGGCGCCCGGCAGGGGGCGCCTTACTTCGATTAAGCTGAAGTTCGCGACTCCAACACGACTGGGACCTCCGCCCCCAGTCGTGCGGGTTCGATCCTACCCCAGTAGGCGGGGAGACTGGGGATCTTTGGCCCAATTGGACAATCCTGGAAGACCCGTTTGTCACCAACATTCTCAGGACCGGTTACAAGCTGCCAATCGCCGTGTCGCCGCCTCTGACTTCAACGCCCCAGTCGCGTGTGTATGCTCCAGACCAACAGTTACTGCTAGCAGACAGCATCCACACTCTGTTACGCCAAACAAGGTATAGAGACAGTGCTAGACCCCGACTGTCCCGGGGTTCTACTCACCAATCTTCCTGGTTCCCAAGAAGGACTCAGGGAAACTACGCATGATTCACAACATGGCAGTTTTCAACCACCTTTATCTTTTTGGAACCGCCTCACTTCCGCATGGTGTCCCTGGAACAGCTCTGAGCCAAACTTTAGCCCAGGGTCTGGTTGGCCAGCCTCGACCTTCAGGATGCCTACCTGCATGTGCCCATTTACCACCGTCACAGAAAGTACCTGAGGTTCTTTTCAACGGGTCCCACTACCAGTGGAAAGTGCTTCCATTTGGAATTTCCATGGCCCGTGGCTTTTACTTTCGGATTACCTCGCCCGATCACCCGGTTCCTCCATCTCAGGGGCATCGACTTCGACCCTTATATAGAGACGACTGTCTCATGAACCACCTCGACCCTCAGTTTATTCGCAAAACAGATGCACTTTGCCATTCATCTCTTGCAGCAACTGGGATGGATTATCAACATAGACAAATCCCACCTGGAGCCGTCCCAGAACTGGCGTTTATAGGGAGGCTTCTTCCTGACACATTCGCGACCTTGTCAGGATTCCGCTAGATAAGCTGGAGAAAGATTGTCAGTTTAAGCAACCGAGGTCTATCCCAGCCGCCAGTGCTCAGGGAGTGGCAGTCCCTCTTAGGTCTCCTCACCTCAGCCCAGGACTTGGCGCTCAGAGGTAAACGATGCTTCGGCCGTTACAGCCGCTTCCTGTTGCCTTACATCCAGGCGGGCGACCTTCAGTTGAGGTTCCTTTTGCCCCTGCATCTCCAGCTTACCTCCGTTGGTGGACTGTCGAAGTCGAACGCCTGGTCGCAGGAGTCTCCTTGACAGAGTTTGTTCACGATCCACGAACTGTTAGTAGATGCGTCTCTTCAAGGTTGGGGTGCACACCTCAACGACCAGACCACCTCGGGGCTGTGGTCCGGCACCGAGCTAGGATGGCACATCAACACCTTGGAGCTGCAAGCAGTCATTTTAGCGGTTCGACACTGGGTGCCTCTGTTGCGGAACACCAGGCTCCTGATAGCTTCGGACAATTCTACGGTGGTGTGGTTGATTCACAATCAGGGAACGACCAGGTCCAAACAGTTGTTGGAGCAGACGTTCCAGCTGGCCAGTCTCCTGGACGACAATGGCATCAGCGCCAGAGCCCGACACATCCCAGGGTGCAAGAACGTTTTGGCAGACGCTCTCTCAAGGCCAAACCGTCTCTAACAGAGTGGATGCTACATCCAGAAGCGTTCAAACTTCTTTGTCACAGTCACGGCCGCCCTCTGATCGACCTGTTTGCGACTCGCTTCAACACACAGCTTCCGTTGTGCGTGTCTCGATTCCAGATCCAGCGGCATGGGGGTCGGCGCCATGTCCTTTATGTCGTGGGAGGGTCTGGGCGTTAATGCCTTTCCACCACCAGTTCTGTTGCCAGCGGTAATAGCAAAGGTCAAGCGGACAGAGGCGATTCGTCTGCTTTTTGGTCGCAGCGCTTGGTGGCCAGCCAGAACCTGGTTCCCAGATCTGCGCCGTCTCGCCCGAAAGAAGTCCGCATAACAGTTACCAGACTGGCCTCACCTGCTCAGGCATCCCCACAGTCGACAGTGGCATCCCGATCCGACTCGGTTTCATCTACAATGGCGGTTGGATCATCTGCAAAGGCGCTGAAGGCCAAGGGGCTTCTCCACGGTGTCGCCAAGGTTATTGCTGCGTGCTCATCGCGTCTCCACAAGATCACTCTATGATGATAAGTGGGTTTCTTTTGAGAGTTTTGTGCACAGAAGTCCAAGGACCCGTTGAAAGCTTCTCCTCAGTTTATAGCAGAGTTCCTTCTCTTTCTTCGGAAGTCCCGGCGTCTCAAGGGCAACACTATAGGAACTTATTTATCGGCTCTTAACTCCGTTCTGGCGGTCAAGTGCGACAAAAAGATTTCCAAGGTGCCAGAACTCATCGCCGTCCTCAAAGCGTTTAAGCTGGAGGACCAGAAGGCAAAGCTCCGTCCTCCTGCTTGGGACCTTGACGTCCCTCTTCGTCATCTGAGAGGTCCCCCTTATGAGCCCTTGGACACGGCTTCTTTTGAGAACCTCTCCAGGAAGACAGCCTTTCTCTTGGCCAGGGTGCGTTTTGAGCAGTCACGGCATGGTCTTGTTCATCTCGGACTGCTTTGGGATTTCGTGGCCAAGAACCAGCTGCCGGGACAACCGGATAGGATCTTCTCCATCCCTCCTTTGTCTTCCATTCTAGGACCTCACGACGCTGAGGAACAGCTGCTTTGTCCCGTGAGGGCACTTAAGATTTATATTGCCAAGTCATCTTCCAGGAGGCAGTCTCGTAAGAGACTGTTCATCCCGTTGTCTTCTGTGGCCAAAGGTGAAGTTAATAAGAATACGCTTGGCGCTCTGGCTCCGATACTACCATCCTGACCGCTCACGATCGCCAAGATCTGCCTCATCCTACAGCCAATAATCCATGAGATTAGGGCTCTGGCTTCCACCATGGCTCTCCACAGAAACTGCACCGTTCCAGCCATCATGGAGGGTTGTTTTGGAAGTCCTCTACTGTCTTAGCTAGTCATTACCTGCGGATTTGGCCGTCGAGGGCGTGGAAGGTCTTCAATCGTTTGGTCCACTGGTGGTTGCTCAGCAACTCACCCGTCCAACCGCCATTAGGTAACTACTTCTTCTTACCTTCTGGTCTTCAGGTTAACTTACACTTTGGGTGTATTTGTTTTCCTTAGGGTTGCCTTTAGTTACTATCTGTCTCCTGTTCCAGAAGCCTCCTGCGACAGTCTGGCGATTCAGTAGTTTCTTCTGGTTTTCCTTGGCATGTGGGTTTTCATGGGGCGGTCCTCTGGAGCCCGACACCGCCGTCCTACTGTCGAATCCATATGCATAAGACCTATGGTAAGGTAAGTTAAAATTTATTAAAATCTAAATATTTTAGATATTTAAATACTTACCTTACCATAGGGCGGTAACTCCCTCCCAACGCTGGATGCTCCTCCCCTCTCTGGGCTCTTCGGACCTGGTCAGTAAAAGTGATTTTGGATGGACCGCCGGCTTGCGCGGGAGGAGAGATCACGTCACTTCCGTTGCCTGTACACTCGTCGATACACGAGGTGGCCGTTCTATAGAATGGCGAATCAACGACTGTCTGATCTCTTTAAGCGGAGCTTGAGGTAATATGCATAAGACCTATGGTAAGGTAAGTATTTAAATATCTAAAATATTTAGATTTTAATAATTTTCTACTATGATGAGCATTGAGGACCAAGGTGATGCTTGAGGTAAATGTCCTATCATCCAATCAGTATTAAGGCTTCAAGGGGATTCACTTCAGGGAAGCATTCAGACAAACGTGTCTGTTTTCTGTATATCAAACAGAATGATGTTTGTTAGGGCAAAGATTTTGTTTCGACAATTTCCTTTTTGTCCTACTTCCACTGGGTAACTGTGTCCTTTTGTTCTGATTCTAGGTGATCCAGACCACTTCGAATTCCCAAATCCAAAAGGCCCTCGAAGGAGGTGGTCCACAGAGTCAGGTGATAGTACCAAAGGTTCCAAACCACCAAAGTTGGCCAGACGGTCATTCTCAACTTTTGAAGCTGAGGGTATGTACTGTGTTAGAATCATTAGCCCTGATTGTGTTTCTAGGTTCATCATCACCATATTCTTTCCCTAGTTTTCACAGCTGTGGTAAACGTCCGAGACCTGCATCTTCTTGGGCTTTGCATGATGGAAACTTCAAAGATGTCAACTTCTTTTTTATACAGAGCACAACATTTCAGAGTATATTCTTACTCGTTCATCAGGTGAACGAAAACTAGGATGTAGAGAGCTTTTATGTGTTCACGTGAGAATATGTCATTGCCGTTGGCAAAAAGGCGACAATTCTGCTGTTCTTGATGCGGCGGGAAGTCCGATGACTGGCAGACTTGGAAGGTGTTAGGATGATTGTAATGGGTGATAGGGTAGATTTTTCCTTATCCTGGCACATGATCTTTTGCTTATCTCCCTTTCCCTTGCGAATGGTAGTGGAACACTTGAATCCCTTGTAGTTCCCGAAGCGGACGTAAAAACGAGTTACCTCCATTTTCCCGCGCAAACAGTCATGTGACTAGCCTTACTTGTCACTCTATCCGCTTGGGCGAGCACTGGAGTCCCGAATACGGCAGATATCCTTTATATTTAGATCCTATTTATCAAAAAAATTGCAATTTAATCAATATTTGAGATCGTTGGGTCAAGATACAAGCCATGATTCCTCAAGCAGTCATCTCTCCGTTTACACAATGAACATGGCAATGTCTACTCGGTCTACAAACCTCAGCACAAGACTTGACTCGCACAGGAAGGTTACAACTACGGCCATTGCAACAATTCCTGGCAAAACATCTGGACAGCAGCGACCCTATCTCACTACCAGAATATCTCAAAATGTACCTACTTTGGTGGACTCACAGGTCGAATGTCTGCGGAGGGACCTATTTCCAAGAGCCGGTCTTCGACACACATCTTTATGCAGATGCATCGCTACAGGGTGCACATCTCAACAACCAAGTTCCATCAGGGAAGTGGTCAAATGCAGAACAGCATCTTCACATCAATCTGCTAGAAATGAAAGCAACAGAATGCTGATGATCCACACGGACAACTCTACAGTGGAATTCTCCATAAATCGGCAAAGATCAACAACATCGCCAAGCCTATTGCAGCTCACATTCCAGTTGTTCAACATCACAGAGAAGGCAAACATCTGGATAAAGGCGTGTCACATACCGGGAGCCAAGAACGTAGTAGCAGACGCTCTTTCCCCGACCACTTCATCCGTCACCCACGGAATGGATGCTCCATCCAGAAGCGTTCCGGCTCATTATAAGGGAAATAGGATCCCCATGCATAGACCTGTTCGCCACGAGGTTCAACAAACAACTACAGACGATTGTTTCACCAGTACCAGAACACCAAGCCTGGGCAACAGATGCACTGAGCACATCATGGGAAGCACTAAATGCTTACGCATTTCCACCTCCGATCTTACTACCGAAAGTACTGTTGAAGATCATACAGACACAAGCGCTACAACTGACTTTGGTCGCGCGCCCTATTGGCCAGCGAGAGTCTGGTTCCTAGACCTAATAGAAGATCTCGGAAGTCCAACCCTCAAACTACCAGAATGGCTGAACCTTCTCAGACATCCGCACACCAAGCAAGTCCACAGGAACCCAACACTGTTCCAGCTACACGTGTGGACCGTATCAAAACCTGTCAGAAGAAAATAGGATACTCCACCAGAGCAGCGAAAGCAGTAACCCTGGCGTTATGCAGATCTACTTGCAAAGAATCAACTACCTGGTCAACCAGATAGACAGTTCCATGTGCCAACGCTATCTACAATCCTTGGAACAGAGAACCCCCAGGACTTATCCTTGTGTCCTGTCAAAGCCTTGAAGATATATCTTCAAAAGACTTAAACAAGGAGAAGAAAATTCAAGTGCCTATTCATGCCCTTGTCGACGGAGACAGCAGTGGAAGTCTCAAGAACGACAATATTGTTTTGGATGAGAGCCGTTATACTAAGAGCCTACAAAGCAGCAGAATAAGAAACTCCAAGAGCTTCCAACCCACACGAAGTCAGAGCACTGGTGTCAACACTGGCTCTGCATGGAAATTGTTCTATATCATCGATTATGGAGGGCTGCTTCTGGAAGTCATGTACAGTGTTTGCCAACTACTTCCTCAGAGACATCGCCACTGAAGACGTCTCCAGCACTCACCAGTTTGGGCCGCTTGTTGTAGAACAACAACTAACAGTTCCACAAAGGTACTGAGTTGAAATCTCCCCCTTTATCACGTTGACTTGTTGATAACTTTTACTATGGAAGAAGTTCTAGTTTGAAAGTCCATGCGCACAGTCTAGACTAGGCTAGCATGAGTGATTACGACTCTGTACGGGTAAAGATCTTACCTGTACGTAAAGGGGTCGCAACTCATTTATGATAAAGATGTTGTCATAATCTATGGGTTGTTATAGATAACTAGTTAAAAGAAGATACTAGTATATCTTAAGCCACATGAATCTAGAAGATTCACTTGTCTGAGAGAGAAGTAAGACAATATGGTGGTCCCCCCGAGTTACAACGGAAGTTGGAAGAATAGGATCAAGGAAATGCCGTTACGCAGTTCCCATGGGGGGGATACAGGACGTATCTATGGACAGCTGTTGAATCCATGAAGTGGCTTGACCCACCACCAATCCGTAGGATTCTATAAGCGAAAGATCATGAGTCAGGATAAGGAAAACTATGTAGTTTTTAAAGTAAAATTGATATTTTATACTTATCCTGACTCATGAGGTCAAGCCCTCCCAACCTCCCCGCTGGAAACACCTCGGATTTTACAGTAGATCCAGGTGCATGGGCAGAAAAATCAGGAGAGAGTGACAAGTAAGGCTGGTCACATGACTGTTTGTGCAGGGAAAAGGGAGGTAACTCGTGGGTGAGTGTATTTTTACGTCCGCGTCGGGAACTTCAAGGGATTCAAGTGTTCCACTACCATTCGCAAGGGAAAGGGAGATATAGCGAAAGATCATGAGTCAGGATAAGTATAAAATATCAATTTTACTTAAAAAATTACATGTTAGTTCGTGTCTTGTGTCTGAGTTCTTGGGGTTCTCGTTTGATGGTGTTTGGGGACTAGGTGAATAGGGTAACTATTGAGGGAAGTGAAGGGTTCGTTTCCGTTCTGATGAAGTCAGGATGAATAACTGCTTTGGCATATCCGATGAAGCTATGCAAACACTTTGCCAGGTTAGAACTTAGACACTAACAAAGAGGCAATAAACCAGACTCACAACCAATGTGATTTTAAATTTTAACACACTAGTTAGAGGTCTGAGGTCTCAACAGGACTGTATGGCCTTCTCAGTAATGTTATGTGACAAGATTAATGTGAAATCTGTCTATCAGTTAATCTGACAACCCAAGACATGTGAATTTTCCCTGGATCAGCGGATTTCCATGATTTCTGTTTCATTGTGAACATTTTTAAGATCACTGTCAATCTGCAATAAAAGACCACCAAGACCCCTGGCTAAATTTTCAGTGTTTATTGTGCTTGTACTAGTGGTGGTCCGATTAATTGAAATAATCGAAGATTGGTTGCAGTGACTAAACAACCAAGCAATCGATCATGTTTTCTCATAATCGAACACAAACAATTCTGGAACACTTTTTGCATTAACAATTTTTTTCACAAGGTTGGTTTTATTAGCACATTTCATGAGCACTACAAGCTGGTCATGATTGAATGGGAAAAACCAAGGAAGTTATGTTCCTAACATATTAGTCATCCTTTCAAGATGTGAAATTTGCCCCCAAAAAACAACCAAAGAACTTCATGGTTTTTTTTATGTTTTTGTGCATTAACAAAAATAATAAGGAAAAATTCATAAATGACGCTAACCAATTTTTTTCGATGATTGATCGGTTGTAATGAAGCAATCATCAATTTTGAGATTTTAACCAATTCCAAACACTAGCTCGTACTGTTCTCATGTCTGCAACTCTGGTAAAAATTACATCTCTGTAGCCCTTGCTTGTCATCCTGTCAGGATTCCAAATCAAGATGAGTCCCTTGCTTTGCATATCTCCCCTTGAGGATTCAAGGGCACAATAGTGAGATATACATTTTGACTGCTTTCCCTTTAATTATTATCCACATGATGAATTATTGTGTGTTGTATTACAGCCAGTTCCACTACTGGTGACATGCAGCCTCCTGTACGTCCAAGTCGGCCCACCGGAGACCCGTCCGAGTGGTCAATTGAGGAGGTCATCAACTACATCAGTGATACAGATTCGGGGCTGGGACAGCATGCTGACCTCTTCAGGAAACATGTAAGTTGATGCTGAAGTCTGCACCATTGTAGGGTATTCTTGGTCAGGGCATCCTCCCAGTGTCCACCCTAACTATTCTGTGCCAGAACATGTCCCAATGTCCAGCCCTGGTATCCTGTGCCATAGAGACAACCTAATGGATAAGGCAACCAGGCTCATGGCAGACAGGCAAGACAGTTGTGATATTATCCTGCTGTAGTTCCCTCTGCAGAGTTATGCCCATTAGGTGTGCCATGCACCTGGATCATGTGTCTTGAGTCTTGATTAATTCTTATGCTTCCTTTGACAGCATCAGATCCATCATATTCATTTGAGAAGGCCCATGTGTTTCACCCAAGTGGTTAAATAAAGGATATTATATGAGTGCCCATGTCATACTATGTTTACGACACGAGTGCCTAAATGTTGGTATTTCTCGAGCAAGAGCTGGGGATATACCGATATTTAGGCACGAGTGTCGTAAACAAAGTATGGTATGGGCACGAATATAATATTCTGATTATTACTGAAGTCGTCAAATTGAGGAAAATAAACCCAAATATACTTTCAAACAGAGGCTGGCTACCCGCCGCGCGGCATGTAGAACGCAACGTCACAGAAGAAACGTGACATCATAGCATTGTTCATGATGTCATGTCACCATGACAAAGTGATATTTTGCCCTAGGGTATCGTATGAAAAATATGAACCCTGGTATGTTTGCCCTGATATGGCATCATAAACCCTGATATGTTCGCCCTGATATGACATCATCAACCCTGATATGTTCGCCCTGATATGACATCATCAACCCTGATATGTTCGCCTCATATGACATCATCAACCCTGATATGTTTGCCCTGATATGACATCATCAACCCTGATATGTTCGCCCTGATATGACATCATCAACCCTGATATGTTTGCCCTGATATGGCATCATCAACCCTGATATGTTCGCCCTGATATGACATCATCAACCCCTATATGTTTGCCCTGATATGACATCATCAACCCTGATATGTTCGCCCTGATATGGCATCATCAACCCTGATATGTTCGCCCTGATATGACATCATCAACCCTGATATGTTTCCCTCATATGACATCATCAACCCTGATATGTCTGCACTGATATGATATCATCAACCCTGATATGTTTGCCCTGATATGACATCATCAACCCTGATATGTTTGCCCTGATATGACATCATCAACCCTGATATGTTCGGCCTCATATGACATCATCAACCCTGATATGTTCGCCCTGATATGACATCATCAACCCTGATATGTTCGCCCTGATATGACATCATCAACCCTGATATGTTTGCCCTGATATGGCATCATCAACCCTGATATGTTCGCCCTCATATGACATCATCAACCCTGATATGTTCGCCCTGATATGACATCATCAACCCTGATATGTTCGCCCTGATATGACATCATCAACCCTGATATGTTTGCCCTGATATGACATCATCAACCCTGATATGTCTGCACTGATATGATATCATCAACCCTGATATGTTCGCCCTGATATGGCATCATCAACCCTGATATGTTCGCCCTCATATGACATCATCAACCCTGATATGTTCACCCTGATATGACATCATCAACCCTGATATGTTTGCCCTGATATGACATCATCAACCCTGATATGTTCGCCCTGATATGACATCATCAACCCTGATATGTTCCGCCTCATATGACATCATCAACCCTGATATGTTTGCCCTGATATGACATCATCAACCCTGATATGTTCGCCTGATATGACATCATCAACCCTGATATGACATCATCAACCCTCATACGTTCGCCCTCGTAGGTAATAAATGTTTATATGACTTGCATCACTTTGGAATTTCTTCCCATGTGAAGCTGTTGTGATATATACCTGAGATACTGTTCAGAGCAGTGTTATAACCAGTTCTGTTAACGTCGGTCTCTCACTCGCTCCCCCTACTGATACTGTTGTATTCAATTGCAGGAAATAGATGGGAAGGCGTTTCTCCTCCTCAACAGTGATATGATGATGAAATACATGGGACTGAAACTTGGCCCTGTCCTCAAATTGTGTAACATAGTGGAGAAGTTAAAAACACGGAAATATGTCTGACATTGATCAGCGCGAGACTTTATTTGTCAGGAGGATCTCCACACCAAGGGGGATGGGGTAGGGGGTGGGGTGACCCCAGCCTGGACTACACAGGGACGGACAGGCTGCATGGGAGTGATGCTCACACACCTGGCAGCAGTAACAGCAGCACCGTCAACAGCCGTCTCACTCTGCAGCCACTACAACTGTCACACATGAAGGATGCTGAAATCAAAGAAAATCGGTTACATGGTGTCATTTTAGAAATTCAGGGAAACTTACTTGAGAGGAAGGACGTTCTTTAAAGTCATGGACGAGGGCTCAAAGTACATTCTCACAATATAAGAAATTGTTTAAACATAGAGAATTTTCTTTGTTTCATCTTCTTTTTATTGTTTGGTACAACGTTTCAGGGCTTGTTCTGGACCCATCATCAGGTAGATAAGTAAAGAACAAAGTACAGAACAGTAACTGTTAACCCTGCCCAGGACGTCATGGTTGACAGGTACTGTTGTTTAGTTCTACCTGATGATGGGGCGACAACAAGCCCTGAAACGTTGTACCAAACAATAAATAGAAGATGAAACCCAGAAAATCTCTATGTTCACCAAATAGCATCTTCTAAAATGCCAATCAAGCATCTGAGAAATTGTTTGTAAGAGTTGTTACAACTGTTAAGGGTTATCATTCACGAGATCATTTGTCTGTGTACTAATTACTTTAGGGTATAACCAACTTATGCCTGCCACTTCAAGTGACATCTGAAGAGCGTTACTGAAGCAGACAGTTTTCACAAAAATATTTCCTTAAGACAAACTGAGTCTCATTCTCCACTAGCAACGTGATGTCTATGACAGTGTTTGCAGTTCGTGGAACAACATTGGTTCCCTCTCTAGATTTCCGCACAGATGTGGAAGTCATAAATGTCATTGACATAAATATTGTTACCATGGCCACAGGAAAAAAGGTTAATGACATTGAGGAGGCAATTGTAATTCTTGCTAATGGCGATTTTGTATATAGGTTTGGTCCTGATGTAGGTCCAGCCTCTAGTGTCATGTTCATGAAGACTTGTGCACATAAGGTGTCTTTTGCATAACATCTTCTATTTGTGGTGACAGAAATGTTTCACACAGGACAATATTGAAAAGAGAGCTGTTAGGGATGATTTATTATGAAATGGTCGATCTAAACTTTTAATTGATTATTAAATTTCTGAATAATTTATAACCCTTTCTGCAATCAAACAATTTGGAGTAAATAACATTATTAAGTGATTCTACATGGTTTAATATGGGTTATAATGTCGTTTTAACACATGAAATCACGATAAGAAAGGCACTTGAACTGAATTTTCTGAAAAATGTATGACATATTTATATAGACAATTGCTGCAAGATTTCTGAATATCAAGAATGTTTTGTTCACCGAAATATATGACCTGTGTCATGGGACATATGGATGAAGTCTAATTGTTTTGTAACACAATGAGTTAACAAAGGAACATGTGATTTCAGAGTTGTATGCAGCATGTTATGTGGGTCGGTGTGAGTCAGATGATGAGATTACTTATCACATAGATGTGCAAGTCTTGGAGTTTCGTTTCATTACAGCACTGCAAGACTGTTTATTTGTACTGTTGTACCAGTGAACCACCTTTATTTGTACTGTTGTACCAGTGAACCACCTGATGTCTACTGTACTTTCCTACACAATATATGCTTTAATTCTTTTTTTTTACACAAATGATTTCTGCTGGTTTTATGTTTAATTCAGTTTGTATGACTGTTTGTATTTGACATTCTGTACATCAATGAGAAAACAGTAAGTTGACTGGTTACATAGTGTTAAAAGAGCTAAGTGAGGAAAAAATAAGGGACCTTCTTTGGAAATGTCAGATTTTGAGAAAAATATTGTTTTACCATCTATGAAACCTGAGTTTATTGACACTGACTTGAGCAGTACAGATAGTTTGGGAGTTAGTGAGTGAGTGAGTTTAGTTTTACGCCGCACTCAGCAATATTCCAACTATATGGCGGCGGTCTGTAAATAATCCAGTCTGGACCAGACAATCCAGTTACCAACAGCATGAGCATCGACCTGCGCAAATGGGAACCAATGACATGTGTCAACCAAGTCAGCGAGCCTGACCCCCCGATCCTGTTAGTCACCTTTTACGACAAGCATGGGTTACTGAAGATCAATTCTAACCCGGATCTTCACGGGTACGGATAGTTTTGACATTACTGATGTGTTGTTGAGCAGTAGTCACTCACTGGTCTGTAGCGTACAGAGATTGAGACACCTTTTAATGGAGTTAACTTGATAACATGAAGATATGTTCTGTGGTGCCTGGACGTGAATGAGTATATGTTGTAGTTTGCATTGGCCCCACTCCACAAAGTGATTTTAGCGCAAAGATAATTGTAACTCCCATCCTCTTATGATACGACAATCGTAGCACAAAGATTGTTTTGCGGAACAGGGCCCTGATTTCTGTTCAGAACAACCTGTCCTTTAACCCATGAGAATGGCTGTTAATGGTGAAACATTTATACGATAGGTTTGACTTTTTATCACGCAGTGTCAAATATCTAACCTAAATATTGATTGGTCTTGGTGGAAATTTTTTTCTAGCACGATCCATATATTCTTAACTTTCCCCAACTTCGTTTATATATTTGTTTGGGACCACAGATGACCAAGTCACCAACACATCTAAATTATTTGTATAGAGCTGCTCCTTTGGTCATGCCAGGATACACTGATCCCAAGGTTGAATCCCAATTTGGCCTCAGTTATCATGTTGGTGGGTTAATGCCCCACCTGTGCTTGTGGATCTCACAAAGTGGTAAATAATGTCATCCACCTACGACACTTGGGGCTTTCCTGCCTCAATAAGATGACATGACCCAGTTGAGAACTCATTAGTGTGGCATGTATCATAATTTCTACATTACAGTCATCCTCTCTGTTAACCATTGCAAATATTAATGTGGACTTGGTTTGACAACTTTATTATCAAATATTAACACCTTAACATGATAGTATACAGCTTGATACATGTAAGGCCATCATAAATTAATTAGTATGTTATACAAAAATGTTACATTGGAGGCATTTTATTTTGTACGTTTGTACTCCTTAAACTACCGTTTAAAGAATTTGTATGCATTGACTGTTGACAGATGTGATTTGCCAGACAGAAATGTTTTATTATGATAAAAGGAATGTGTATCAATTTACTTTGTCTGAAGGTACTTCAGGACAGCAACATGTTCGGTTATGTGGAAAGTAGTGATGAAATTGTCAGATTTGACGTTATTTGTCAACTTCTGTGCAAATGTGACGGTCGTGCATTGAAGTGCAATATGCTGTGTTTAGAATGATCAATCACTGCCGAGATGTTATGGTGCACTATTATCTGGTATCAACCTGTTGCTAAGAAGTCATGTGAACCTTGTGTAATTACTTATAAACATACTGTCCTGTATTGCAGGAAGAATGAAGCCAGGTGGCAGCTGATGTTAGCTGTTGTTCAAAATGCTAAGTTGGACATTTTTCTTTGCATGATCTGATTGAAGCCAAACAAGGTTGCTGATAGGAAAAGATTTTACATTTTGCAATGTTTTATTAAGTTGAGTGAGTAAGTGAGTTTAGTTTTATGCCGCACTCAGCAATAGTCCAGCTGTATAGCGGTGGTCTGTAAATAATCAAGTCTGGACCAAACAATCCAGGGATCAACAGCATGTGCATCGATCTGCGCAATTAGGAACCGATGTATCAACCAAGCTAGTGAGCCTGACCTCCCGATCCCATTAGTCGCCTCAAACGTCAAACATGGGTTACTGAAGATCAATTCTAACCCGGACCTTCAGAGGTTTATATTATTAATAAGTTGATGGCAGAGTGGGGGAGGTGGGGTAGCCTAGTGGTTAAAGCATTCACTCGTCACTCCAAGAACCCGGGTTCAATTCCCCATATGGGTACAATGTGTGAAACCCATTTCTGGTGTCCCCTGCCATGATATTGCTGGAATATTGCTAAATGTGGCATAAAACTAAACTCACTCACTCACTCATGGCAGAGTGACATATACTGACAGAAAGAAAAAAGGGAACAGATGAAGTGAATGACTCGGCAATACTGTAGTTGTCTGTTATTACTTAAAGCAAATGTTAAGGACCACCTGATTCTCTCACATCACTAGAGACACTCATGCCATGACAGGCTAACTAACGGAATATGAGAGAATTGGTGTTCCGGAACCATTTTAGTTGTGTTTTAGTTTTTACCAGTAGTAGTAAACAGACCAAAGAGACACAAGTGCTTTGTGGTCATCACATCTTTCAGGGCAGAGTCACCAAAGAGACACAAGTGCTTAGTGGTCATCACATCTTTCAGGGCAGAGTCAGCTCCCTTGTTTGTGCAAGGATCTGCTGAATTCCTTTCTTGACTTCAATCAGTTTATGACCGTATAGATTACTGAGTAATAATTGCAGATGTACAGAATTAATTCTTTCTGTTTATTAAGTCCCAAATCTATGTGTTTCCCTTGAAAGATCTGAATTTGAATACTGAGTTTGATTTGTTAGGAATATGGTAGCAATTGCATGTGTCCTTAGTTCTGTGTGAAGAAAGTAACTTTGTGTATGCCAGTATTTGGAATGGTTTCTAGTAATTATTTACACTGGATCAGGAATTATAACGCCTTCTATGGTGAGACTTACACTTTAATGATATTCATTCTTTTACCTCATATTTATTACTGCACTGATTGGGATGAGTCGGAATGCAAGGATTAATTTATTACCTATTTTGACGTTTGTTTACACATGTAAATTTTGTGCAAGTTGTAAAGTTTGCTATGCAGATTTTCATTGTAAGGCTTATTGCTTGTATGCTTATATTTTTCAGTCGGTGTTTGTGTACTAAGCTTTTTATGTTTACTGTTTTGCTTCTTGTACATGTAATATGCCTATTGATAGACTATTCTAGGCACACTGGTATTTAGTTTGCACTTGTTTCAATAAGCATTAATTCAATAATAATAATTCCTATTTCAGTTCAAGAAGAGGAAAGTCTTCATGAGACTCTTGAAAGAAGCTATTGCATTTATATTTTAATGAATTTTGTTTAAAAGTAAAAGCAGATGTATGTAGATGGTTCATTAATATCAGTGAAAGGTGATATTGATTGGTCATATTTCAGAGACCCAAGAAAGTCATTTAATTTCATCAAAATTTTTATCTTTGACTTTAACTTGGTAATGCAATGAGCATGTATTTGATTTTTGCAATTCTCATTACAATTACAATGAGTTTTGTAGAACCTTTTCTTTTTTTACTAAATGTCTGTAAGAGTAAAAACATTAATGAGCTGCATAGACTTCTGGTTAAGAACAGAAATTTAGTGTTGTTGAGTTTGAACTTGATACTACAAAACTGGCCATGGAGTTGTCAACACACTAAGATGGTTTTGACATTATACACATATGCTTAATGATTTACATGTCCTCGTTTGGAAATTACCTCCTTTTATCAGCAGTTATATGTTGAGGTCCAAGCTTGGTTCCCCAAGTGTCCACATTGACCATCTTATACAGCCTGTATACCACACCGTGTGTTGATTGGTCTGTTAGCACATGGGTCTGTTCCTTGTCCATATATCTCACCTAATTTCAGTTTCAAACATACATTATCATTAATATGGATACAACAGAGCTGTGTATTATTTCTCGTTTTAGAGTATTGTTACACCGATGTCCATACTGCATCCATCCCATGGCCCAGTTTTGACCCAATTAGGCCATGTTAGATTTTCTGTCTTCTTCGTACATTATGAGTCATCTTATTGCAGTATGTTTGTTATATGCCTGGCGTGTATATTTGTATATAAGGATATGAGACTTGTGAATAATGTGGGTTAGATCTATGTATTTTACGGTTGTGAGAGATTATCATGAAAAAATCATCTATGCATATCATATCTTTGCTGCCTAGCAACCGTGCTTGTTAGTGGGTTCCTGTTGGTCTGTTGTCTGATTCTATTCTGCCTTGTTATCAGGTGTCTACTGCATGTTATATACTCTGTTGTATATGTAATATGTGTCATTACAAACAGTTGTGAGGAGAATAGTACAGCATTGATACAAAATGGTTGCAATTACGTATTGTAGGACTAACAGAATGGTGTGAGAAGTATTTGTACGCTAGATAAGAAATTGGTCCTTGTAGTTGGGAAGAGACACTGGATGATGATTAAATGTTGAATTTCAGCAACATTACACAGCAACATTATTGTGATGAGCACACATGCAGATTTCACCCCAGAGCAGCTAAAGGCAGTGAAGTAAAAGTGATTTTGTCTTTCATTCAGCCTGTGCAAGTGTATTATTGTAGATGATGCTGGCATACTTACACAGGTAGCCTGATGGTAAGTGTGCCAGCTCAGTAAGAGTTCACCTGGTTCTACTCCTCACAGTGGTAGTGTGTCTTGGGTACCATGTGGTCAGTGCACCAGTACTGCCAACAATTTTTTCACTCTTATGAACTGCATCATACGTATATGCATATCTCATCAAGGAACAAGAGTCAGTTGCACGTGTGAAATTATTTTTTTTTTACCTGGCTGTCCTACCAGCAAGTGGTTCCCCCTCGTAAGAAATAGCGAAAAGTGACAACAAAATAATGATCGTTTTTGAAACAACTTATTTTATTGGGGTGTCCAAAATTATGATACAAATCATCAGAGTTGGTCTGTCGATTTCATAGGACTGTGCAAAATTTGGTTTTGTTGCAATTATTAGATTTTGTGTTAGTGAGCAATTCATCAGTCTAAAATGGAATCAAACGGACTGTAGTGGATTCGAATCTTACGTCATCCTGATTGTTTCCAGGTTATACAGCACCATATTCATTCTTGTGGTTCTCACTCCAGTGGTAAATATCAACTACCTACATCACTTTTATATTTCCTTCCTCGGGAAGCCAACACGCAGTGATAAAACTGAAATACTGTTGAAGCAGCGTTTAGCTCAA